GCTGAACACGTGACAGAGGGATGTCAATCTATTTAATTCTACGTAACATAAAATATACTTCAATATAAAATATATTTTATAATATATGTAGTATAATAAAATATATTTTATAATATAAAATGTACTTCAATTCTAATATAATAACAATTAATTTTAATATCTATGATAATTCGAAAAAAGGAACAGCGTACAATAGAGAAATAAAATGAATTGAGCGTGTTATTTCGAGCAGAATCGTCTTCAATCACCTTGTATACACACCCATATAAACGATAAAGACGGAGAGTTCCCCTCACGCACACACATACACACGGGGTCATGCATTTTACACAGGTTAGCCCCGTGCGCGTACAGCGTGAGAGAAGTGGAGGACAGCTACGTAAAACACACATCCGCTTCCGCCTCTGATATAATATACTTATTACGTACATATGCACACATCGAATGTGCGTTCCCTCAAAGTAAAGCGCAAAAACGTGAAAGAGAAAGGAATTGAAAATATCTTGAAGTTGAAACGAATGAGAATACTGAATAAAACAGTATTTTGCTTTTATTTCTGTTGAAATGGTCAGTTCTGTTGATCACACGGATATTAAGAATCAATCGGAGAATACGGTTTCGCGATTCGCGTTCGAGTTCGTATATAGCCACCGATCTCAGACTACTTTGGTAGCCGCATAGTTGTTGTTCACTGCTTGCATACCCCCCTTTCTTTAAGTCTCTTCTATTCTGGCGCACTGATAGAATTAAAAATACGGGATCACGTGGAGGTGGTGCCTCGGTTACATCTCTCGGGATGCTTGCCAGCCCGTTCGCGAACCTGTTTTCCTCGTAAACTAACGGCCCTAAAGAGGCGAAAGGCATCCCATCGTGGCTAATCTTAGAGGCTCGTCACGCGAAGAGAGTAAAAGGCGAGGTAAAGCGATCGGATTTTCACTCGCGGCGACGTTTCAACCAACCTTCGTCGCTGGTGAGATCTCTCAGTTTTCGAATACGTTCACTCACGCAGCGAGTTAAAAAAAAAAATCGTCCGAGTCGAGTTCGAGGATATTTCCTAGAAATTTTTTTCGGATAATCCTCTGCTTGAACAGTTTGAATTTCTACTCGCCAAGTTAATGTTTCTTTCCCATCTCCCGTGGCACTACGTTCCACTGAAATAAGTAAACGAGTGTCACTCGACGTATTTCTCGGGCATGTGCAAATTTCGATCGTACCTCTAAATAATTTTAAGCCCGTGACACGTCAGAGGCGCAGGAATAGAAAGAAACCTCGATTCACAAAGCGGCGATATTAATACCCCTGAGAATTGTATTTTAAACTTTCTCGACTATTCCCTCCCCATTACGCCGATTCAACGATTGAAACTTCGTGGCGTGGAAATTTTTGCATTCTGCAATTTACTTACAGTCGACGTGACCGTACACACCGGTTCGTCCGAGCCTGTTGAAAAATTGAAAAGCCCCCAATACGTAACACGGTCATACGTAACCAGGTTCAAAGATATCCAGTACGCGTCATTCATGTTGTTAATACAACGTTAATACGTCATAAACAATTCGATTACTACGTCATTGTTGGACCGTAGTAGTCGTTCAGTTTCTCCAGTGCATCCTCTTCGCTACGTCATTGTCTCACGTTTCATTGAAAGTCTTCTGCACGCCGCGTATCAGAAATCGATCATGTCCCTGGCGCTAAATTAAACTTGGGTGCACATCTCTGTTACATAAACTATCGTGCAAAGGTCTTGTGGATCGGAAAATTAGTACAAAATGGTCAGAAACTGATCGTGAGTGTCGCTGACAGACAATCGGTTGGAAAAGTTTGCAAGAAAAAGATTGAAACGCTCGTGCAAGAAACGAATGTATTTGCATGTTATTTACTTGCTGGGAAATAAATATTTATATTTAGTTATTTTTAAATAAATATTTATATTTAGTTATTCTTATATTTCTTATATTCTTATATTTTTAATAAATATTTCTTTTCTTTCTATTTAGTTATTCTTATATTTCTTATATTTCTTATATTTCTTATATTCTTGTACAAATATTTCTTTTTTTTCTATTTAATTATTCTTAAATAAATATTTATATTTAGTTATTCTTATATTTCTAATATTCTTAACAAATATTTATTTTCTTTCTATTTAGTTATTCTTAAATAAATATTTGTATAGTTATTCTTATATAAATATTTCTTATGTTTCTTATATTCTTGTACAAATATTTCTTTCTTCTCTATTTAATTATTCTTAAATAAATATTTATATTTAGTCTTTAGTTCTTATACAAATATTTCTTATATTTCTCATATACTTATACAGATATTTCTTTCCTTTCTATTTAGTTATTCTTAAATCTATAAATAGCTGGCTGTGTAATTAACATGGCTACAACGCGCTATTCTCTCTTGTTTTTTCATTTCGCAGCTGGAGTTATAAATCATGTGAGGATATTTAGAAATACTCGTGCAAATTTTTACGATTGTACTTGTTCTTGTTCTTATTGTTTTGCATTACAGTCGTTCAACGACCACACAAATTGCAAAACGTCGTCGTAATAGTTGAACATGAGCACATCCATCGAGTTACGCTCTTTGAAGTGCGTGATTGAAAGTTAAATACGTGTAGCAAACTCTGTAGCGACTTGTTCGAAAAGTTTACTATTATTGTAAATGACCGATGACGTCAAGTCCACATTACGATCGGCCATTCGTTCTTTTTTTTCTTTTTTTTTGTCTCACTAATACGTTTCTTAATGAAATTCAAATAGCATCTACTTGCATCAGTGCCACGTGTGATAGAGTGAACTGTAAAACAGACGATTTACTGGATGTTAGTAAAACGGAAATAAAGCTCAAGAGATAAAGCTCAAATTAAATAAAAATACGGAAGCAGTCGCGATCGCATGAAATTGTTATCTTTTTTTATTTTTATCGTTGCTAAAGTTGCGAAAACATTAATTGGTAATTTAAAGTTATCTACGCAGATCGCAGGATTTCTCGATAGATCGACGCAACGATTGCGAACATTCAAATACGAGTGATTCACTCGATAACAATTTTTTATTCTGCTCGAACAAGCAACGAAATTCTCGGTAAGATTACAATTACATCGAATGATAATGGAACGGAAACGTGATAGGAAATGTTCGTCAGTGAAAGAAACAAGCGAGATTATTTATTTTATTGTGCGTATGAAGCTTTCTGTTCGCAAAATTTCCTCTAGGTCGAAATTGTCGTTGACTCTTTATCACTTCTTTCTGTTTTTTTTCAATTATAAAATGGAAATATACTTAATTTTATGAATGACATTAATAAAAAAAAAATTTATTGAAAATTTTGAATTTAAACATGATATTATTATTAAATTATTTTACTTATAATAAAAAAAGATAAATATAATTGATAATGATGATAATGATGAAATTGAATAACATAAAATTCTAATTATTTTTGTTGAATTTTTTTAAAAATGTTTATTAAACTAATAAATAAAATCGTTGAAAATTCATAAACAATTCCTCTGTTATAAAATTGTCTAACAATAATAATGATATTGAACATAAATATATTAATAAGAAGTTAAATTTTTAGGAATGCAAAGCGTAACACGTTCTGCATCGTCGAGAGAGGAAACAAAATAAGAGTTTTGAAAATAATTTATTATGTACGAACGTGACCGAAATCGCAAGGGAGCAAAACCTTTCGCGTAATATATAGACGACGAGATACATACCTTGCGACATGACATCGTAAATGTCATACGACGCTTCGCCGATGGTCTATAGTCCAAAGACTCGGGGCAAAAAATTGCGCAGCGAAATATGTCTTGAAATTTTAAAGCGTTTTTCTTTCTTTTTTCTTTCTTTTTTCTTTTCTTTTCGTTTAAGAATAAATCAACACTTCCATGTGACTGATAATGAAATCCATCATGCATAATACCAGTATGCCGATGATGAAATACTTGACATTCTCCCCACGACCTTGTACCGATATTTAAAATCTTGTTTTATAATTACTACCGTTATACCGTCCATTGATTTTTCTTTTTTTTTTTTTTGTTTTTGTTTTCTTTCCTTTTTATCGTGCAACGTTACGGTTTTTAAGAAACTACAGCAGGATTATTAATTCTGCATATATATGCGTGTGTATTCCACTAATATTTGAACTGTCGCTACACGGCCTAAGCATACTTATACTTATTATTCACGTGTACATTGAAGGTTGGTGTACATTGACTCCATTACGGTTGGAAATTTGTTTAGATCTGCTTGAACAATATTTTACTTGAGACGAAACTGAAGTATGTACCCGATTCGTTAGAAACAATATTACTTTCAACGAATGTTTTTCACACGAATCATACACACACAAAGTCCAGTGTCGTGGCGAAAGAAAGCTTTGTTTCTCTAATTCCGTGGTTCCCACGCCATAACAATGAATTTTTTTTTTTTTTTTTTGCATTTCTTTAAATGAAAATTTAACTTTTCTTTCATGTCCTTTGGAAGCTTGTTAACGGCCTTCTAGGCTTCCGCCACGTGAAAAATTCACATTTCGAATAATGAGGATAAGGGGCATCATTCAGGATTTTAGAGAAAAACAAAACGATTGGGAACCACTGCTCTAGTCGTGGCACAGGCAGTATCTTCAGTTTGGTCTATCGACCAAAAACATTGTCTCGATGTAAGGAAAGCACGGCTGTGAAGCAAATTGCACAATCTGTTACGCCGTGGAACTTCGGTATTGATCGAAATAAAGAATTCAGACCGTGTTGTTCGTTCAGGCTATGATCGTTCGGCTTTCTTTTCTCGCGGGGAAAGTAAAAGTGGCTGTTTCGTGCCAAGGTGAGGAGATCCACGGTGAAACGTATCGCGGATGTCCTTCGCAGTTCGCGTTCCTGCGTGCCACATACTACTTACTCGTTGATCTCTCCCTTTGAAAGAAATCACAGCGAATAAGCATTTGCGTGTTGTACGTGAAATTCTCCTTTTTTGTTGCAGTTGTGACACGTCAAAGCAGCAACATGTCTGTAACCACGTCCGTGCAACCAGCTGCTGAGAGTCTCTCTCGTCATGGGTGAGTTGATTGTTCAGTATTCTTATTTGTTGTCAGCTAGTGTCGCCTAAATTGATTTAACCCTTCGGCGTCACGGAACTATTATTAGCGTCACGTATTATTTTTCTGAAATTAAGTACATTTCCATTTCCGTCGTTGAATAATTTATTGTTATGAGAAATCATCGTGAAGAACAAAATTCTTTTTTTTTTTTTCTTTTTTTTTTACCAACAATTGTCAAATTTATTCCAATTGCATCTTTTCGTTCGTTTTATTAATTTTTGATACAATTTGATTTTTTCTTTTTTTTTTTTTTTCTTTTTAACCAGGATTCATCGTATCAATATAATTTTGGGTATTCGACGTTTTTTAAATAATTTGACTGTGTTTATTCAATTTATATGTAAAACAATTCACATTCAAATTTAACAATGGAAAAGGCTAAGGCCAATATAAATTTCAATATTCTATTAAATATTAATTTGAAAAATTTCTCCGAAAGTTCACACGAGCATTCTAAATATTCAAGAACGATGCTATGTACACACATATATTTTTACATTTGTACCAGAAAGAGAATCGCGTAGGTATGCAGAATTATTATTAGCAGTGAATTATTCGTAGAAATCTCTCGCCTCTCTCCTCCCGTTTTTCGCGTAATGCAAGCACGTGGCAACGGCACCTGTACCCACGCCATTGTGCTTGAAAACCACGAAGGACGACTTTAACAGAGGAAGCTGTCGGATGCTCTCGTAATAGATGCCCAGATTCCAACCGATACCATTGTTCTGTCGCGTTTTATTTAGCGGCGAAGCTCAAAAGCGTTATACAGTTTCGCGGCTGTTTTCTAAAAATTTTGAAATTTTATTATCAAAAACCGACTGTTTTCTAAAATTTTGAAATTTTATTTTTTTTTTTTACATAAAACAGTAGAATTTCAGAATTTTAAGAAACAGTAGGCTTCTTGAAGCAGTCGAATTTTAGAATTTGTTGACGTTCTGTCTCTGTATGCACGCCCTGTATCAAATTATATCAAACCTATTGTGATAAATTATTTCATCATTCGCGAGTGACACGAACAATTTTAGATCTGACATTATAAAAATTTCATTCTTTTATGCCTGCGAAAGAATTTCAAAATATTCCGAATATATCTTCCTGATAAAACGAGCACGCTCTCCTCTCTCCTCTGCGAGTCAGTTTCAAATTCGAATTTACCGCCAATTCAGACCTATATAATATGCTATGGAAATTGTGAAAAAACTCTCCCGCGTTATTGACGGACTGTTCAAGTGTATACCGAGCGATACAGGGAGAGAAACCTCGACCGACATTCGAATCCGGATCTCTTTTGCTCGCGGGACGATCACTCTATCAAGCAACAATTAAATTATTTGGGTCGTCGGTGAATTTTACTTTACCTTTTGGATCTCACGTTGAAAATTTTTCTATGTCGTAAAAATTATAGATACATAGATTGAATGATTCTATAATATATAGTAGACCAAAAGTTTCTTCCCACCTATTTTTTTTTTTTTTTTTGAATAAAATATCAGAATAT